AACCCCCCACCCCATCACCCACCATCCCCTCTTGTTATTCTTACACGCATCTTACTAAATTATGTTAGAAAACTGAAAAGTTATCCAACCAACAAGATTATGCCTCTTCACCAAAATTTTGGGTCCCACCAATCCTATTATCCAATCAAATCTCTTGATTTTATGGCCTCTTTTCCATTTTCTTGATCCATTTGACAATCCATTCCCCTATCCAACAACTACCCTCGAGTTCATCCCCCACCCACCCCCTCACCAACTTCCCTCTCTCCCTTTCTTGAGTTATTGCCATATTTCATCAAAAAATTTGCAAGTTTAAGCCAAAAACAAGATAGTTGGGATGATGGCAGGTTGGTTAATGAATAACCAGAAGTTAAGTCCTATGGGGTTGATCAAAGATGAGATGGCCATGAATTACATGTTTGGCCAAAAATCTAGTCTTGATCTTATGCAAAATTGTGACTTGCCTCCACCTCTCAAGGTATTTTCTGGCCCTGATAAAACAGTGCTATCACCGACGAATAACGTATGGAGGGTCATAGAGGAGGATGATCACAAGGAGGCGAATATCGAGCCTAAACAAGAACTGGGGAGTGACAGGTTCGAGCTGCTAAAGGCTTTGAGACGATCACAAACACGAGCAAGAGAGGCAGAGAGGAAGTACCAAGCACTGCATAAAGAAAAAGATGCACTATCGAATTTTCTGATAGAAGAATCTGCACGATCGCGAGCTTATAAGAATTGGATCAAAGTTCTTGAGTTACAAATCCTGCAGTTAAAAACACAACAGCAGCAGCAGCAGCATGTTGATAGATTGGACAGGACAAAAGAGGATGAAGATAAGAATGCTGCAAATGGTGTAACATGGTTTATAGCAGTTGCATTATGTTTAGGCATAGCTGCAATTGGCTGCAGATACCTGCTTTAATTTACTGACTTCTTTTTTCTCCTTTCTTGCATCCAATTAAAAATCAGGTGTACATAGAAACACTTTGTTTTACAGTTGAGAAGATTAGTTTTATCAGGTATTGTTATAGTACTATGATGTTGGAAACACAACAACAATAATAATAACAATAAACCCAGTATAGTACCAAAAGTGGAGTCTATAATACCACAAGTGGAGTCTGGGAAGAGTAGCGCATGCGCATACATTATCCCCCTACCTTGAAGGTAGAGAAGTTGTTTCCGAAAAAACTCCGACTCAAGAAAAGATTAAACGAAAGCAGTAGCAACAAGTAGTAACAACAGCAACATATTAAAAAAAACAAGCGTAATGAACAACATGTAGTAATAGAATTTACCAATAATAGAAAACAAGGCACACACGACTACCTACTAACCTTCTGCCCTAATTTTTTACCTTTACAACTTTCTATCAAGAGTCATGTCCTCGGTGAACTGGAGCAACCAAATCCAGCCTAATCACCTCTCCCCCGTACTTCTTTGGTCTACCTCTACCTCTTCAGACCCACTGAGGTCAACCTCTCACACCTCCTCACTAGGGCATCTGCACTTCTCCGTTTCACATGCCCAGACCATCTTAGCTCGCTTCCCAGATCTTGTCCTCCACTGATGCTACTCCTACCCCGTCCCAAATATGATGTTGGAAAAGCAGAATTAACCTAATGCTACAAATTAGACAAACTGTACTCTTGTAATAACGCCATTTAACTTTTCACAGGCAACATTAAAGGTTCTGAACACACAAATATATGCATGTGGGTGTTTGTATACATATAGGAGCAAATAGTACCGTCTCACAAGAGGGGGTTTACTACATAAACATAGATATATATATTTACATAAAAAGCTCTGGGTTACATAGACAGGCAAAGATTTACATGAATGCTTCATAAACTATGGTACCCTAGTTATCACGTAATGGACAGGTGAATATTCCTCAGATGGCCATAGCAATTCTCACTGCTGTCGAAGAACTCCAAACAAACCCAGCAAACATGTTTCCCGCACCTACATTCGATATGATTGCAGCCGTCTATCTTCTCAATTGTAAAGCTGCAAACTGGACATTTCTTGACATTCTCTTTTCCCTTGGACCATTCCTTTAGAGAGGAATCGGGGTCATTTTTAAACTCCTGGTACATCTCACATGAAAGGTATGGATGATACTCGAGGTGGCATCTAGTACACGTCTCCACAAAGCATGCACCACACACAAAAGGTTCACCATCCATACCAGGATCCGCAACACGATAAACTGAAGGGCAGTCGGGTGAGGGGCAAAAGCGGTAGGTACCCCCATTGGCTGCCACAAAAGCCCCCAATGAAGCCCTGAAAAGTTCCTCCAACTTGTCACTCGACAATAGCGACTTCAAATCAGCAAGCAAAATGGGTTCCCTACAACCTTGACGCATACAGCAGACGGGGAAACCTTCCCGGCTTTTGATTGCAGACTCACATTGCTCTAGCAAGCATGACCGACAGAATAAATGAGCACAAGCTTCAAGTCTATAAGGATCCTCCAGTTCACACAAGCAAACAGGACAGTCAGCCTCATCCCCCGTAGTTTGAGTTGGTAGACCGCTTCTTTGAGAAATTTCAAAGATTAAGTCCTCAACTTTTTGCTTCAAGTCTTTACTACCATTGATGCAGATGCAATGGCGTTTTGTGTTCAGAGAGAATTCTGCCCCAGGCACCTTTTCTTTAAGGCCATTAAGATCTGGTCCAAACGTCTGAACAACTCTTTTCATCAGGTCAGGAGGCAAATGTTGTCCACGAAGATGAACTTCAAGTTGCTTGCTTTCATGTAGCTCCAGAAGGGAATCTATTAATCTCTGCTGCGCCCTATCAACATTATCTGAAGAGCCAAAGATTCGTACAAGTAGGTTATGCTTGTCAAAAAGAATATAGGTTCCTGTCTCCCGCTGAATCCTGTTCACAATGTTAGTTCCTTCACGAGAGAAGAGAAGTTGAACAACTGTTGGAGTAATGTCCACGTGATCTACAATCTTGCCTTTCATAAGTTGCTCCAATGGCCTTCGCATCTCTGCCACAACTTTTGTAGCAATGGCAGATATCTTAACTCTATAGGAACCGTTATCATTTCTCACGAGGTTGCATTCCACGCCTGCAAAACAATCAAAACTTCTTCTCACCAACCAGTTAAATAAATCCGGGATTATCTTAAATTATGATACAAATAGCATTCATAACAGGTTGCAGAATAAGCCCCCGCTCTCTGCATTCCCTAGTTTTCTCCTATCCACAATCAAACACAAAAATGGAGAGGGGATCTGCAAGCCCCTTCTTGTGGAGGAGGTCTTGAGATGACAACAAAGTTTCATATCAACCAATAATCAGTACCACTAAGAAAATTTAGAAGAGTGCAACAGGAATGTGAACAACAATATAAAAAGCAGTCAACACTTGAAGGCATGAAACAGGACACTTCAGCTTAAATTTTAAACCATAATCAGCCACTTTACGTAAGTAACCCAGTTTGACATAGACATAACCAGCAGGTCTCAAGATCTCATTTCTACTATCACCATTTTTACACTGACATGGAAACAGAAAATATTTTTAACAAGGGCCAATTTTTCGAGCAAAATTGGATAGTGAGCTCCACGGTCAAAAGAATCCAGCAAATGATGAATTAAATTAACATGTAGTTTGTTAGTAAGAAATATGAAGGGAACACAGGAGCAGTACATACCGTTTCTTCGTCGGAGGCTAGCAAGTAAGGAATCCAGCTGGTTCCTAATAACATGATAAACTGGCGCAGGACAGGAAACAGAGCTGTGAAACAGTTGCTGACATCTTATTTTCTGCCAGGAAAGGCATCCGGGCAATACCTTGCCATCAATTTGCTCCAAAGCCTTGGCTGCTTCAAGATGAAGACTTCCGTCAAAAGTGATAGTTGCTCTTGTGTAAGCATCCTTTGGTTCCGGCTGGAAGACCTGGACGCGAACAGAGTTAACATATGGAATCCTATTAGGCATGAAGGGAGATATTACTTTCCTAAGTGCTTCTTCACAAGTAGCTACTGGAGGATCTCCTACAGCAGTTCCTCTCACCAAGAACAAATCCAGAATTCTCCTATTTGTTGATGCCCTCAACACCTCGAGTAACTCTGCCTCAGAAATCTCCTTATCAATTCCAGAAATGACCAAGTTGTCAGGATACTTATTGCTTGGCTCACAACGGATAATTCTTTCACCAATCATCAGGTCAGAGAAGTCATTTATCATAAATGCAACATTACTTGGGTCGCATTTTAAAAAGGCTACTCCTCTACTGTATTTACGAGGCCATTGGACTTTAGCTCTGAGAGCTGACCGGAACATCTTTTGATCACTGCCATGCATGCTGCTCCTAGACGGAACTACTTTCAGAAAGCCACCATTGAATTCCACTTGATCTAAGAATGCAGCTTGTTTTGCAGCATCAGGGGTAAGAAATGTCACCCTGCCCCACTTGTTCTCCTCGCTGTCCTGGCCCATCCCAGAGGACTTATACACCGCACAAATACTACCAGACGTGGATCTCTCCAGAAACATCAGCAGTTCTTTATCATCAATCGCATTTCCATTTGAATGAAATATGTCCACAGTCAAACATCTCTTCTCAAGCTCCAAATGCTTTATCATAGCACCAGCTCCAAAGAGGGCAATAGAGGCTGAAGCTGCCGAACCTCCACTGAATAGGCATTTCTCTAAACATTCGTTCTGCAACAACTTACTTTCATACTCTAGGGCATCACTTACACAGCAGGTAACACTCTTCATGTGTCTTGAAGAAGCATATAAAAGAACCTCATTGTCATCAACATTGACTTGAATGCCTATCCTGTCATCCACATTAGTAGTTCTGATGCTCGTGACAAGATTATTAATGTTACAGTTAGATTTTCCACAAAATCTTTTGAGTAGCATGACTCCGAAGCCTGTCAAAACCTTCTTTTCTAGCTTTTGGGCATCCATCTTCAGAAAATCAAACAAAGGAGCGGGATTGAGGCTATGAAGAGAACTGAACTCAAATGAAGTAACACAGACCAGATATTCATAAGTTGCTGCAAGGACTTCCCCGAAAACTACCCAACGTGGCCGTTGGGCAAAATTCTGAAGCGAACAGGCAGGATGTAGCTGGACACACTTCCCAGTTAGTGCAACCTCATAACCAAGCTGATCATAACCTGAGTACATAGCAACATTTTCCGCAAGGGAAGAAAGAATTATACTCTGCAAAACTTCATCATGCTTGGTATGAACTTGAGGATCCCATTGCCAGTAACTAGCAATGATCATATTTAGTTCGTTTTGAAGACAGGCTTCCAGTTCCTGCACAGTCTCCTGGCATCTCTTCATGGATTTAGCATTGATACTATTATCCCAACACCAGCTATTCTTCTTTTCCCTAGGCACAGCCTCCCATTCCCTGTAAACAGATAATAAAGTAAAGAGGTCACCATTTGGATGGCAAAATTGCACCTTAAGGCGATCAGATTTTAGCTTGTCTCCCTCGGAACCAACCCTACAGAAAATGCTGCTGGAATTTGCCATGACAGCAGCAAGCACAACACCTTCTCTACCCATACGTTGATCAAAGCAACCGAGGATCATTTTGCCCAACCTAGGTTCAATACCCAACTTGACCAGTTTTCGTCCTTCTGCAGTTAATACATATGTATCATCATCTCTTTGTGTAACAGCTCCTAGTTGAACCAGATTTCGGGTGGCCATCTCGATAGCTTTGGGGCTAGGTGCATCAACAAAATCAAAATCCTGCACATTCTTGATACCTAATGCAAGAATCCTCAGCACTGCAACACCAAGATGAACTTTGCGAATTTCAGGTTCCTGATGACAAGGCATTCCCTCAAAATCACTTTGAGAGTACAGCCTGTAACACTTTCCAGGTTCAGTTCTCCCCGCACGACCAGCTCTCTGGTTAGCGGAACTTTGGCTCACGCTGCATATCCTGAGAACATTCATGCCGGTGCCAGGTTCAAACCTGCTTTCTTTAACCACACCAGAATCAACAACATATTTGACACCGGGAATTGTCAGTGATGTCTCGGCAAGATTTGTGGTGAATATTACCTTTCTCCTCCCTGGATAGGAGAGAAACACTCGGTTTTGGTCATCATAAGATAATTTGCCATGTAAAGGTAAAACAATGGCCAGAGGTGCTTGAAACTTGTCACAAGCCCACTCAACTTCACTCTGAGATGTCAAGAAGGCTAGAATAGCTCCCTCTCTCTCCATTCTATGTATCTCGGTCACCATCTTGATAACATCGTGGACATAAGGGGCAATTGCACCTACAGCAGGATGGACATCAGATTCACAGGGAACATACTTAATATCAACCGGAAAAGTTCTACCCGCCACATGGATAGTTCCACAACCAAAGAAGTAATCTGCAAGCTGGTCTGCATTAACAGTGGCAGACATAATAATAAGCCTCAGATCAAACCTCTGATGAAGTAGGTTCTTTATCAATGCTAAAAGAAGATCAGTGTTTAGGCTTCTTTCATGTGCCTCATCGACTATGATGCATGAAATCTTGGACAAATTCTTGTCACCCATATAGTGCTGCAGTAGGCAGTGATCTGTCATAAAAATTATCTTTGAATCAAACTGTTGACAAGACGAATATGATGGATTGCAGGTAACTGAATTATCATCATAACACCCCTGGCTTTCCTCTCTAACCCTCCTTGCTAAAGAATTGGCAGCAAGTTTCCGAGGCTGAGTGCAAATCATAAAACCATTTCCAGCTATTCCTGAATCAGCAAGGAACTGCACTAATTGTGTACTCTTTCCCGATCCAGTCTCTCCAACCAAAACCGTCACCTAGAACATAACCATCAAAAAATAACGCAACGCATCGCGCCCAAAAATAAAAACCAAAGCCACCAAAAAAAAAAAAAAAACTCATCTCATTCAGATCACCCCATGATCCTTCTGTTTGTATGCATCTTAGGTGATCGGAATAAAAGGGCAGCCCGGTGAGGGTCCGTCCCTTCCCCGGACCCCGCGCATAGCGGTAGGTTAGTGCAGCGGGCTACCCTTTTATTCCGATCACCTAAGATGCATACAAAAAGACCTAAAAGCTTATTCCTTGATAAAAAACACTGTTGAAAAGTCAAAAAATGAATAACACATCTTATAATCAAATGACAAAATTGAGAACAACAATACAAGGTAAAAATTATCTTTAGCACCTGCAAACAACAAGATAAAATCATTAAACACAATTTAAAGCTCCTCTTAATCAGTAAAAACAATTTATAACTCTTTCACCAAAATGTTCTAGTTAAATTCCTACAAAATCAAAAAATAGTTGCAGGTCTATTTTTTAATTTTTGGTTAAATAACAATAGCTGCAATTTCAATTGGCATATGTTAAAAACAGCATAATTGTTACTTTTCTGCAAAAGTGGTAGCAAAGATTCGCAGAAAAGCCCCTTAAGTTCATAAATTTGCAGATAAAATATAAGCTCATTACTCTTTTACCAAGATGGATTACATGTTCTAGTTGCAGTCATCTTGTACCCATGCGTACATCTCCGTGTGCTTATCTTGATGTCGATATGCATCGTACATGCTTAAAAGGATTTGACTTAAGGGTAAATTTGCTCCCGTGGCGCGATGGATTTATGGCGGGAAAACAACCTTTTTAAAACAGTAAAATATCTCTCAGTTCCAATTTATGTGGCCCTATTTCTTTTTGCTTTTATTACAAAGATCTCTTTATATATTTTGAAACAATTTCACTAAAATTTTCCATTTTACCCTTAACGAGAAATTTTTAAAGCATGTTATAGCATGTCATTGTTTAAGACAACAAGTTAGCAACACAAATATTGTTACATGTTTAAACCGCGAGTTTCAAAAATCACCCTTCCTTTCTTAACTTCGTAGCTAATCAAATAGGTTCACACAAATTAAAACGGATGGAGTAAAACCTAACAGATAGTTACCTGTTGGCAATGAATTTGCTTAAGAATCTGCTGCCTGAAAGCAAAAATAGGTAAGCCATCATCAAGCCTTCTACATTCTCTCATCATCAAACAATGAATTCTATCCCAATCAAATTCTTCCCGGCCAAATTTTAACACCCTAAATCCCTCCTCATTCTCAACAAAGCCCTTTTCCTCCTCCTCTAAATATTGAATAATACATTTAATCCCATTCTTAAACTCATCAATCCTTAATTTAATCAAATCCCTCTCAGCTTCAAGACCCTTCCTTTTCTTACACAACTCACTATAAACTCCAATCTTATTGTGTTTCCTTAACAAACTCGAAACCCCATCAATTTCATTCATTAAAAACCCCAACTTTTGCTCCCATTTTTGCACTAAAACCCCATCAAGAATCCCATACAAATGGTCTAAAAAAATACCCTTTAAACTATTATTCAATTCTTCTTTATCAGATGAAACCTCAATATTTTCTTTAACAAACGGGATATAAAAATGCTCACTTTTTAACTTTAGCTTCCATAATTCAACCGTCACGTCTAACGCTTGATTCCACTGCTCGTACAGTAGGGTTCCGACGACAAAACCGGAGGAAAACACAAAGGAGTTTTGAGGAGTGAATGGTAATTTTGAAATTAGAGAGTTTAGTTGTGGCCTGTTGAGAGTGCTGTGAGTTGAACAGAGTTGGACTATGAAATTGGGCGGTTTTTGTATCGGTTTTTCCGGTGGCCGGCCGAACCGGTAACGCATAGGCTGATTCCGGTGAAACCCGTATCGGGGTTGGGTCACCGCCGGTGAAGGCGAAATTCGTCTTTGCATTGGTAAAAACAAAAAGGGTTTTCCTGAACAAAGTCAGCAAAAACAGAGTGATAAAAACTGCTCGACTCTGTGTGTGTGTGTGTGTGTGTTTTGGGGGTTGGGAAGAAAGCGACGGCAAGTAGTTCTGTATATATGGGAACAGAGTCAGAAGTATCAAACAACAGAGAGAGAATAGTGACAGTGAAAGAAGCTATTGAAGATTTATTTGGAAGAAAAGTGGAAAAATAGAGAGGGGGTTTTAAATGGTGGGGAAGGGGAAAAGGAGAAGGTTCTTTTGGTATACCTAATAATAAAATTTCTATTAAACAAAAGTCTTATATAGTTATTGAAGAACTTTTTTGTTTTATACTTTTTTTTATTATATTGTCCAATGTTTAGTAATTACACATAGTTAATAAAAATATTCATTAACATGTTACTTTGTTTAATATTTTTGTCTGATCGCTTTTTTTTTGTAATATGAGAGAAGATATATATTTTATTAATCTTAAACAAAATTAATTTAAATTTTATTCTGTTGTTCTCGATAATATTATCTGAATTTTAATGAATAAAGTATCTATTAAATTAAAGGGACTTATATAGTCATCGAATAATTTTTTTGTTATGTATTTTTCTTTATTATATTATCCAATATTTAGTATGATTGCATTGTTAATAGAAGTTTTTATTGGCATATTAGTTTGTTTAATATTTTTGTCTATTACTTTCTTTATACAATATAATTGACTATATATATATATATATATATATATATATATATATATATATATATATATATATATATATATATATATATATATATATATATATATATATATAATCCATCAATTACTTAATATTGTTAAATTGGCATATGAATTATTAATAAATTTACCAATTTTGTATAATAACTACTCCCATATATATATTTTGTATTTTTCATTATGAAATTATGAGTTCTATTTATAACTAAATTTTCCTATGAGAAATTTATTTAGTATATGTATTTTTACGGTATCATTTGATTTATTTATTTTTTAGTATTCTTCATTTATGAATAATTATTTAGTACGATTTTAGTTATGTGTGTATGTACAACTTTTCTCATAAAAATTATAATTATTTTTACGTATTTTATATATATATATATATATATATATATATATATATATATATATATATATATATATATATATATATATATATATNCTTAATTTTGTTAAATTGACATATGGATTATTAATAAAAAACCAATTTAGTATAATAACTACTCCCATATATATACACACACACAACTACAACTATATTAGGAAGAAATTACTCTCCAATTTAAATTGGTAGTTTTTTATTTTTTGTTTTTTTGTTTTTCATTGTAAAATAATTTTAAAACTCCTATTTGAATGAGTAGAATATTTTTTTTGTATTTTTATTTTTTATTGATAATTATAAGATATCTATATTTATTAATTCAAGTAGTGTAACCAATTAATTCAAAATTAAAATTCAATAAAAAGTTAGTTAGAAAAGTAGTTTATTTTGTCTTAACAATGTCACTTGGCTTTTTGTGGTTAAGACACTTGTCTTAATGTAGTGGTTTTGCTTCTACTATTTTATATAGATAGATGTTTGGATTTTATTTTATTTTATTTTTCCCAAATACATGTTTGGATTTTGGAATTATTGCTTTTTTTTTCTTTCTTGTTCTTCTTTTTTTTAAAAAAAAAATGAGATAGCTTTTGTTTGAAAGCCTAATTTTATGTATTAGTATCTCGAGATTTGTTGATATATGAATTGATAAAGATATTTAAAAGTTGTTGTTATGGATTAGTATCTCGAGATCTGTTGATGAGCATGAACAAATCGTTTTTGTAGTCGTTATAAAGTGAAAAGAATACGTGTTGGCTTAGTATGTCTGCAGATAAGGTAAGTAGGTAATTAACGGTCAAGATTTGAAATGAAACGACTTAACGAATCTATGTTTTTTCTTATATAAAAATTAATGTTGAATCATAGATTTGAAAGTTGTTACTATGGATAGTATCTCAAGATATGTTGATAGATATGATTTTTATAGCCGTAGTAAAATGCGTAGAGCAAATATTAGTTTCGTCGAATGTCTGCGGATAAGGGTAACTAGATAATTAATGGTCGAGATCCGAAGCGAGAAGACTTTATATTTTTGTATGAGTGGAAAATTAAAAATAAAAGATTTATGAAATCTACTAAAATGGTATTGTTAAAAAAATCTGATTTTTGTTGAATATATTACTTGAAATAACCAAATCTCCTATTAGCAAAAGAAAAACAAATTTCTTAGTGGGACCTCATGAGAGAAGGAGATATTATGGAAATTTGAGCGGTACTTTAAGCAGTTGCTTGGAAATCAAGTTTTATATTATATAATTTACTTAAAAATTTATCGGATATTTAAACAATTATTTTAAAGTAATTGTTTTGCATTAGTATTTCGAGATCCTTCAATAGATAACTTAAAAATCGTAGTATTAAGTATCGCTAAAAATAAATAGTCTTTTCATATAAACTAAGTAATTATATCATTTACTGAAAAGATTGAATAAACGTCTTATTCGAGAATCGCGATAGAAACGACTAGTTCATCGACAAATATGTTTGTTAATAGTTCAAAAATTAAGTAATGAAAGACTTGTGAAATCTTATTTAGATTTAGTGAATAGAGAATTAGATATAACTTGAATATATTCCTAAATAGTCTTTTTTTTTGTAGGATCATTAAGATGGTAGGGAATTTAGGGGTAATTTAATTTATTACTTAAAGAGAGTTTTAGGGGGATACTGTGTGGAGCAGGGGTGACACATTAATAAATTAAAGAATTATTTCACAGTTTTAGAAAAACATAATTTTGTCCTGAAGTAGTAAATGATTCTTCAACTGGCTAACTGTAAATATTGGAAGTTGGCAAGTATAATATTTAATAGTGGGTAGAAAATATGTTACTCGTGAATGACATGTTTCAAAATAATTTAAATTAATTTTCATCAAAGATAATAATATGACTTACTTTTCTGGTTATTTTGTCCTATTTGGTAATTGGAAGTATATTTTGTCCTCCATATGATAAACGTTTGTTTCTACCTGCCAAATATGAGTAATTATTAGTATAACTGTTACTTGAGGATAAGTTGGGAATAATATATTTTATGGACCAGCTGTATACCCATTAGAATATAAGAATATATTACACTAGTAATTTAAACATATTTTAAATTAAATAATATATCTTTAAGTACGATGAATCAAGTATCCGATAATAATCCAAGTAAATTACTACTACTACAACAACAACAACAATCCAGTGTAATCCTACTAGTGGGATTTGGAGAGGCTACAGTGTACGCAGACGTTACCCCTACCTTCAAGAAGGAAGAAAGATTGTTTCCGGCAGACCCTCGGCGCAGGAAAAGTAAAACAAGGACAACAATAAGTATACCAATCGAAAAAACGAAGCAAAAACACAAAACTAACAGTAGGTACTCTAATAAAAAAGCTGAAATGAAAGCAACAACAGAAGTCAAGAGATAGGACAATGCACAGACTGGACAATGCTCTGCTACCTATCTTAACCTTTTATCTTTATTTTCAACCTTCATACTTTCCTATCCATAGTGATATCATCAGTAAGCTGGAGCAACGTCATATCCTACCTAATCACTACCTCTCCCAAATACTTATTCGACCTGTCTGTACCTCTACTTCGAGGCCAATCTCTCGTACTCGTAAGTAATTATTAAGAGTATTATATACTAGAGTGTAAATTCATTATTTTAATTTATGTATCTTTTGTATGCTACTTTATAATAATCCCAATTGTCAAACATCCAACTCTTTGAATATGATAAACTCGAGTCTTTGAATATGACAAAACAATACGGACTTTTCCCATTGACTAATCAATTCCGCCAATTTGTTTTTTAGTATGAAAACAGACCTCGAAAGTAGAGCTAACTCGTTGAGAAAATATACTATAAAGTCTTCACTTTACACAACAAATGTTTTATTTAACTCGACGGATATTTAGATTTAAGATTTTCATTTTATTAACCAGATAATACTCGCGATAATTAAATCCTGGTCCTGTGGTCCACCTTTACCTAACAAAATCTGATTTATATAGTAGGACTAAAGAGATAATGAACAAATGGCTCTATTAATTTTACTTTACTCAGGTTAGTTTACTTGGCCTAACTTGGAGGCTATTTTTTAAGATTTTGCGTGACCACAACAATCTGGGAGATGATCAGACAAGACATGGCGTGGCTTCAGATTTTCGAGGACATAATCCTTGATAGGAAGGTGTGGATGTGGAGGCCTAGCAATAGGATTGTAGGTTAGTAGCTAGTTGAGCATTTTTCTACTTCGTACTGGTGTGAGGCTAGTCTGGTAGGGTTTTCTCTTAGACTGCTAGTGGTTAATGTTGTGTTCCCACTATTCTTTCGTTTTTCATAGTGCTAGGCCTTATTTACCGGTTATTGTTATTGTTTTTCATCTATTTTTTGGTTCTTATGATGCTGTTATTATTTCTATGATTTTTTGTTGATGGTATTGATATATTATCTCTTTCCGTCTTCTTGAGTCGAGGATCTATCGGAAATAATTTCTCTACTCCCTCGGAGTAAGGGTAACATTTTGTGCACATTACCCTTCGCAGACCTCACTTGTAAACTTTTACTGGATTGTTGTTATCGTGTAAGAAATTGGCTACTTCATAAATTCTAAATGAAAAATATCTCACTGTACCAAAATGCTCGGATTCTTTGGAGCCCATCTAAGGTAAAAACTAAAAGCTTATATTGTGAACATGGATAACTCCAATAATGCTTATGGGCCAATTATTTGGACCGAGGCTAGCTAAGCTGTTGGGCCGAGGGCTAAACTGCGAAAAGGCCAAGGAATTAGACAGCCCAACAAGAGATTTGCTTGGGATCCAGGTTGAGTAGGGAAGCACGTGACAAATGGATAAAAGGGATTCATCGACAGTTTTGAGAATTGTGACGACCCAAAGGGGTCATCACCTGTTTTAAATTAATTCTGCTTCCCAGGCCTTGAAAACCTTATTTAGAGTCGCCTCGATTTTGCGTGCGCAGTCCAGGCGCGTAGCCGAAAAGCTTAAATATGAAATTCTGTGAAAAATGCTAAATTTTGGTGTTAAAATGAATAAATTTGACTTCGGTCAATATTTTGGGTAAACGGACCCGGACCCGTGATTTGGCGGTCCCGGAGGGTCCGTAGGAAA